ATCATTTCTGCTAACTACCCAGGAAGACTCTCTCTCTTGTCTATCTCTCTCTCTTAGTTGCTGCTGAGCTTGTTGAAGCTGTCGTTGAAGATCCTGTTCTCTTTGCTGGCCACCTTCTACTTGCCTTTGAAGCTGTTGCTCTCTTTCTTGAGCTTCTCTCTCTCTTGATTGAAGTTGCTGCTCTGCTTGATGAAGTTGCCTCTCCCTTTCTTGAAGCTGTCGTTGAAGATCCTGGACTTGTTCTCTGGCCTGTTGAATTTCCCTCTCTCTTTCTTGTCCTTGTTGCTGTGCTTGTTGAAGTTGTTGTTCTCTTCCTTGAAGTTGTTGCTGTAGTCTGTTTCTAACTTGTTCCTTTTCTCTTCTCTCCTCCTCTAGTTCCCTTTCCCTTTCTTGTAGTACACGTATCAGACGGTCTATTTCTCTTCTATCCTCAGGTTGAACAGGTTGAGATGCTTCCCATTCTCTTCTCCTTTCTTGTAGTTTCTCTTGATACTGGTCCAGAAGTATTATACTAGTAGACCAATCATTATTACTAGTATATCCTATACAGTAACACAATAGTTAAATTAATGACAAGTACATGTTAGTTAATAAAACAAAAGGCTATACTGATGATTTATAATTATTATATTCAATATGTACAAATTGTGTATATTCAATACATTTGTATTTACATGTACTCACTGAATTCAATAACTGCTGTATCACTGTATGATGAACTTCCTCCAAACACAATTATCCAGTTAGTGGTTGGAGTCACACTCCCAACTGAGAGAGAATGAAACCATCTCCTAGTGAAATTGTCTGGTAAATTATCCTATGCATAAAGGAGGATTATATAAATTATATTTGTATCATTTATTGTTACATACTGTACATCCCAATAGTTAATATAAAGTTGGAAACTCCACCCAAAATGTCTAAACTACACCCACAATAATAATAACATACTTACCAGTTTCTTCCATGATTTATTGTTAATATCAAATATCCAAAGATCATAAGCACCATACCCACCCACCACTAGTAGGTGTGGTCCTGAGCTAGTGTTAATCAATACACTGGAATGAGCATTTCTTCCCTTAGGCCATTGCACTGATCCTCCAGGATTAGATAACTTTGAACAATTCTAAAATAATAAAATTAAATTTAATTATCATAAACCACACCCACACACTCAGTGTTATAAATACTGACACACATATACATGTACATGTACAATAACATTATTAATAATTAAAATAATTATACTAATAATACACTCACCACTGATGTATCAGGAAAATTAAGAATATATACATTGTTACTGACTCCATTATCAGTGATACCTCCAAATAATATAGCACTGGAATTATTAATTGATGTTAAAGTGAAGCCATCAATAGGAGGTAGTCTGTGTCCAGTGACAGTCGGTGATATCCATTGTCCTAAAAAGATCAATAATAATAACTATAGGTGAATGTAAACATTGAGGGGGCAAGCATGAGCCATTGATGCGGCTTAGCTTGACTTTATTGAAATAAAATGAAAATGAATCTAATCTAGCTCTTGGTCTAATGAGAGAGAAAGAACATTCATCTCTCTAATCTGTGAGATCATTACTTCCATGCACATTCAGACCCCGACCTCACGGTCGGGGTCTGAACAGAGCAAATATCACCTACTAATAAAATTAAATAACCAATCATCAACCAATAAAAGAGACAAGAAATAGTGCTGTTACTAAGAACCAAAACTAAACTTCTAACTAGTCAAGCTCTTCTCACATTCTTATATCGATCAATGAGAGGACTAATCCAGGAGAGTCTTAGATCAAAGTACAAGCTATCAATGGTCAACAAAAACTTGCGCAAGCACTGTAGCTCACCAAAATTAATATTATTGCGTTTACTTAAGTTTCCAGACTTTACAGAGCTGATGGACTAGCCTTTAGAAATGCTTAAGATACATGTAGCTCCTGTCTCTTATCAAGCTGTTAGAAAACTTGAAAATGTTGAAATAATGTCCCTTTTAAACACTGCCATCTGAAATGAAATTCTGAATCTATCTTGTTCATCGTGACCCCACCCTCCTACTGTCCCATTTCAATATTTCTTTTTACACTTTATAAGGGGAGGCATTTTCAGCCATTTTTATAATTAGACGGCATACGGAATAAGTATCGCAAGCTCTCGATTGAGACTGGATTTGGAGGGGCTTCGCTCATGCTCGCCCCAATTAGTATGAATGGAATGCATTGGGTGGAGCAAACTAGTTGATATTTCTTTGATCATATTATCAAAATAATTAGGAGTGACAACCATGAACAAACAAGCAAGCAATTCTCAATGCAACCAGTCTGAGTGGAGAGCCACCAAATAACAATACTTCATTATATTAATATAAACTGTATGTGCTCTGACCTGTTGAGAGTTTATAGAAATGAATCTCATTGCATCGTTGCTGAACTCTACCACTGTACTGGGCACCAGGTTGTGGTGGGGTATTATTAGAAGATGGTCCCTTTCCTCCAATTACTACAAGATAGTCCTCACCGTTCACTTTTATTGCTATCATGTCACAGAGGGACTTCATCATAGGACCATGATGAGATGTAGTAGGAGAGAGTTCCTTCCAATTGAAGGTATCAACATTAAAACTGTATAAAATATTATAATCCATCATAAACTATTACGTTTACCTATATAAACTATTATGATAACAGTCACCCTGATAACACCATCCTCCGAAATAAAATATTTCCCTTCCAATGGCAGCAGCTGCATAGCCCATAACACCCAGTGGAGGGTTACCAGTGGTGGGTTTCTGCTCCCACCTACCAGTCCTTAGGTGACACACCTCCATCACAGAACACATTGATTTCTTCTTTTCATTATTATGTACTGTAGGGAGATCAGGCTGGTACCCACCCCACATGTACAGGTAGTCTCCTACCCGTACAGTAGAGTGTTCTTTCTTCTCCACTGGTTGATAGTCTATAGATAACAAGAGGTAACAGTAACTGAATGATACACTAATAGTAACAACACACGAGTCATAATCAAGTATAAACAAAATACTGACCTGGTGCTTTGGCTGCCATTTTGTTTGGAGGTAACACCCTTTTATGACGTCATACTTAAAATTTTTGCTTTAAAATTAATTTTAAAGAATTAAAAAATAGCCTATCAAAAAAATTTGCAGCAACAAGAACAACAACAATAATAATAATAATAATAATAATAATAATAATAATATCTCAGTAATTAATAAACAGTGTCATTTAGTTCAGTTATAATATCATTCATTGTTGGACGGTGTCTATACTCAACTATCAGGCAGCGTTCAACAAGAGACCTAAACGAGGCTCTTCTAATACCATCAATAAGACCTACTCTCTCTTTTGGTTGAGGAATACGTCGTGTTATCATCTCTAGAAGGAGGACACCATAACTGAACACATCCATTGAAGGAGAGTGTTTCCTTGGATTGCCTGCTTCAGGTGCTGCATAAAGTGGGCCACCAGGATTGACTGACCTAATTATAAGATGCTGAAGATTAGCTGATCCATAATCTGATACTTTAGCCCTCCATCCTCCAAGTCCACCTCCCATTGGTTGAAGGAGTACATTAGCACTGCTCACATCTCTATGTAGTATAGGATGAGGCTTGAAGAGGTGAAGGTAATTGAGAGCACAGGCTACATCTAAACTGATGCTCAGTATGGCAGGATAGGCCACTCCTCCACTCTCTAATTCCTTTCTTAGGCTCGTTGGCATTAGCTCTGTCAGGATCATTGGATTACCCTCTGTAGTCGCTCCTATGAACTGAAGGAGGTTAGGATGACGTATTTTAGAAGCAATATTCATTTCGCGAGAGAACAGTGACACGTTATATTCTGATATGATGGTCTCGTGAAGTACCTTTGCAGCAACTTCCAGTCCATGGAAACTAGCTACTCTCACCTCTCCCCATCCTCCTCTCTCTAGAATCCTTTCTGTCATTCTAATATCATTTCTGCTAACTACCCAGGAAGACTCTCTCTCTTGTCTCTCTCTCTCTCTTAGTTGCTGCTGAGCTTGTTGAAGCTGTCGTTGAAGATCCTGTTCTCTTTGCTGGCCACCTTCTACTTGCCTTTGAAGCTGTCGCTCTCGTTCTTGAAATTCTCTCTCTCTTTCTTGAAGATGTCGTTGTAAATTCTGCTCTCGTTCTCTGGCCTGTTGAATTTCCCTCTCTCTTTCTTGTTCTTGTTGCTGTGCTTGTTGAAGTTGTTGTTCTCTTCCTTGAAGTTGTTGCTGTAGTCTGTTTCTAACTTGTTCCTTTTCTCTTCTCTCCTCCTCTAGTTCCCTTTTCCTTTCTTGTAGTACACGTGTCAGACGGTCTATTTCTCTTCTATCCTCAGGTTGAACAGGTTGAGATTCCCATTCTCTTCTCCATTCTTGTAGTTTCTCTTGATACTGGTCCAGAGGTATTATACTAGCAGACCAATCATTTATATATTTCTTTACGAAAAGGCCCAAGACTTTAGTTCCTTCAAGGACTAAAGAAAATAAAGTAATATTGGCAATTAAACATGTTATGAAACAAAAAATACAGAAATAGTAGTATATATCAACAATCAATGACAACTTGACAAGTACATGTATACATGTACATCTTTAATATGATATCATTTAATATTTAATATGTAAAGCACTGATGTATTTTTAAAGTGTACAAATTGTGTATATTCAATACATTTGTATTTACATGTACTCACTGAGTTCAATAACTGCTGTATCTTTGTATGATGTGCCTCCTCCAAACACAATTATCCAGTTAGTGGTTGGAGTCACACTCCAAACTGAGAGAGAATGGTACCATCTACCAGTAACGTTGTCTGGTAGATTAACCTATGTATAAAGGAGGATTATATTTGTAACATTCATTGTCACATACTGTACATATACAGTACATTTATAATAATTCCATAATAGTTAATATAAAGTTGTAAACTCCACCCACGATAATATTTATACTTACCAGTTCCTTCCATGATTTATTTTTAATATTAAATATCCAAATATCATAAGCACTACCACCCACCACTAGTAGGTGTGGTCCTGAGCTAATGTTAATCAATACACTGGAATGAGCACATCTTCCCTTAGGCCATTGTACTGATCCTCCAGGATTAGATAACTTTGAACAATTCTAAAATAATAAAATAAAATAAAAAGTTAATTATCATAAACCACATCCACACTCTCAATGTTATGAATAATAATACACACATACAATACATTATTAATTAATAATTAATGTAATTATTACACTCACCACTGATGTATCAGTAAAATTAAGAATATATACATTGTTACTCTCTCCATTAGCAGTGTCACCTCCAAATAATATAGCACTGGAATTATTAATTGATGTTAAAGTGAAGATATTAATAGGAGGTGGTCTGTCTCCAGTGACAGTAGGTGATATCCATTGTCCTAAAAATATCAATAATAATAATTAGTGTGAATGGAATGCATTGGGTGGAGCAAACTAGTTGATATTTCTTTGATCATATTATCAAATAATTAGGAGTGACAACCATGAACAAACAACAAGCAATTCTCAATGCAACCAGTCTGAGTGGAGAATCACCAAATAACAATACTTCATTATATTAATATAAACTGTATGTGCTCTGACCTGTTGAGAGTTTATAGAAATGAATCTCATTGCATCGTTGCCAACTATAACCTTCACTACTGTACTGGGCACCAGGTTGTTTGGGTGTATTATTAGAAGATGGTCCAGATCCTCCAATTACTATAAGATAGTCCTCATTCTTCACTTTTGTTGCTATCATGTCACAGAAGGACTTCATCATAGGACCATGATGAGATGTAGTAGGAGAGAGTTCCTTCCAATTGAAGGTATCAACATTAAAACTGTATAAATACCATATATTATTCTATAGAAGCCATATATGGTTTATAGTGTGATATTCAATGAATATGCATTAATTAAAGCACAGTTGAGAGTAGGTTACGGCATAGATATTATACACGGAACAGGATTAGAAACAGGATCACGTGAGCGCATCATGCATTGAAACCAACCAAGTTTGCCGGGAACTGGTGACCGTAATGGAGATGAATGGAGATACTTTGTGGGACTCTAGCAACTAGATTGGAGGACAAAGCAGGCTAGTGTGAGCCTTTATAGCTTCCTCTCAAGGGTCTTTAGTGGAATAAGGCATCTATTAGTGTGTGTATGCATGTTTCAAGAAGTTATGGCGTGCCAAAGCAAAGAGGCTTAAGCCAGAATTCCATTACTCTCAAACTAACAGATGCGCACTATAACAAACGTCTTAATCCACTGTAGGATGTTAAGAAGTAGCCATAGAACTAGATACCTTGTCATAAAACCGCCGGGTATAGGCTAAAGAGTCCCACAAAGTATTTTTAACATTCTCAATTCATCGCCATTACGCGAGCCATTACGGAATTCAAATTTCATTGTTAATAACCATGAATTAACCAGTTCCCGGTAAACTAGGTTGGTTTCAATACATAATGCTCTCACGTGATCATTGTTTCCAATCCTGTTCCGTGTATAAAATCTATGGTTACGGAAATTATTGCACGAGGGGCGGTCGAGAGGAAAATGTAGCACGAGGCAAAGCCGAGTGCTACATTTTCGTTGAGATTGTCCCGAGTGCAAATAATTTCCATAATTTACGAATCAATGGTGCTTTGATTGGTTAGTAGTGGTGTGTGGGCAGATCAAATTTCATTTCAAAAGTCGCACA